CCATGCATCCCATTGATTTCTTGCTTTCAAAAAAGCTATCTCCTCAAATAATAGAGGGCCTACATTCTAGCTGCAAGTATTAATAGTTGCTTGTCTTCTTTTCGTCTTCCCTGGCTCGATAATCGATGTGCCTGAAATTTCCTGCTTTTCAAAACCCGGTCCTTTGCTGTCCGCTGCATTGCAAGAAGTTAAAGCTGGAATGCAGGCATTGCTATTATGAAAAGGCCCCACTACAATTACAAGCCACGTTTTATATACCTGTAGCAGGCTTGTCTTGTTTTCACGATGAACATTAGTCTTCCATCCATCAAGTCTTAATTTCTTTTATAATATAATAAAATGAAACGAAAAATTAAACTGTCTTGGCATGTTAGGAAGTTTATCGAATTATTAATCACTTGGATCTCAATTTAAAATTTATACAATAAATAATTTAATAAACGTCTTATTTTTTGAAAACCTATATAATAACTAATAAGCAACTATTCAAACTTTTAGATCTTTTTGCATTCTCATTTCGCTGTCAATTTACTAAGTAAAGGTCTACCACGAAATATCCATACATTGGATACCCATGCATCTCGTTGATTTCTTGCTTTGAAAAAAGCTGTCCCCTCAAATAATAGAGGGCCTACATACTAGCCGAAACTATTACAAGTTGCTTGTCTTCATTTTGTTTTCACTGGTTCAACAATTGATGTGTCCGACATTTCCGGCTTTTCAAGAACGCGGTCCTTACTGTTCCCTGCTTTTCAAAATGTTAAAGCTGAAATGCAGGCATTACTATTATGAATAGGAGTTCTTCTCTATAATTACAAGCCACGTCTATATGCCTGAAGCAGGCTTGTTCTGTTCCCCAATAAACATTAGTCTCCCATCCATCAAGTCTTAATTTCTTTTATGATATAATAATAAGTTACTGTTCTACATTTTGGATCACTTTGCATTCTCATTTCAATGTCATTTGCTAAGCAAAGACTACCACGAAATATCCATCAAACTATAACTACCAATATTATTATAATTATTTCTCCATTAAGGATGGAAG